GTGTAATTGTCCATCAGGTCAGTTGTCCACTCACAGCCTGCCCGTAGGTCCTGTACAGGCCACTGGATGCACTCCACTAACATCCTTCCTATGTTCTCTTGAACACGATCATCTACTTCATTTCCACCCTCATCTTCACTTGCATTCACACTTTCTTCTTCAGGCTCCTCTCTCCTCATGCTCCTTTTGCATCCCATAAACCAAAGGACCAAGAGAAGGACCAGAAGCAGAGCAACAGCTAAGAGCTGCAAATACTTCCACACTCCACTTTGCTCCAGGGCCAACTGCTCCATCTCCCACTCCAGCCAAAACCTTTCCAGTTCCTATTGCTCTGCCTGCACCTTCATGTGCAGAGATGTTTCCTCATCCCAAACATCACCCACAGGCTGTGGGTACTGGATGAGGCTTTGCAAGAGCAAGAAAAGGAATACTATGGAATTCATAGCCTGCAGAAGGATAGAGAGAAGGTCTTGAGTGGTGCTGTGAGGGAGGCAGTTAGCATTGGGTGAAGCAGGGATGGGGATCCTCAGGGATCTGAGGTCTGGAAGGACACGGCCTTATGCAGCTGGCAGGCAGTAGCTGCATCAGCCCTGTGGCCTGCCCAAGGCTCTCCCATGAGGGGCTGTTCCTGCATGCAGAGGGAGTACCCAGCCCCAGGGGCAGCGTTTCTGCCCCAGTCCTTGTTCCCAGCCCAGCCTCCCCGCCACGTGTGCACTCACCGTTTGCCAAAGCAATGCAGGGCCAGCGTTACCTGCTGGGGCCTTTTAGAGCTGTCCCCTTTGTGACATGTCCCCCATGACATCACACATGTCACAGATGTCACAACCCAGCCAACCCCACTCTTTATCCCCACCCTGGCTCAGGCAATCAGAGTGGCCCTTTAGTGAAGCTTTTTCAAAGAGTTCCTATTGTTCTTTCTTTTGGATTTATTTTCATCTGCCCTTCATTGGCAATCTCATAGATATCTCTGTTGGAAGGCATCCTTGAGGATCACTGAGTTTAAGCTTTGACTCCTCACTGGTTGAGCTATACTGAAGTCTCAGTGTCAGTGAGACTGAAGAGTCTCTGAAGATCACACAGTGCAACTGCAAACTTAACACAGCCTCCTCTATTAATAAATTGAGTCCTCAAATATTCCAGGCCTTTTCAATCCCTCCAAGAAGGTGACTCAGCTATTTCCCTAGGCAGTCAGTTTCCATGCTTGATATTAGTTTTCATGAAAGCACTTTTTCTAAGATCCAATCTAAATATCTACATGTGATACAACTTGACGTCATTTTCCTTGGTCGTACTGCTTGCTTCCTTGTGTCACTGGACAAATGGAATCTTCAGACAAGCCCCTCCTTAGCCCACGATTTTGTCAACAGCTCATATTTAAGAAATCTCTCTTGTCTGCAAGTCCTAAAGATCAAATCTATTTATAAAATGCATTATTTATTAAATGGACAGGAGATAATAGATAAATTATCTCTGTCATAGTTACTTACGACTCAGTATAAAACTAAAAGGAACTAGAAGTAGATCACAGCATAACAAACGATGTACAACATGAAGGTAACCATGTTAAAGCTTTCAGTGCTGTCAAGGAAACAGCACTGATCAGGAGTCAAATGTTACACACCACTGTGATGATGACAATAATGCAGATTTCTTTCACTTAACCTCCATGGCAGTAATTGCAAAACAAGTGTCCTTGTCCACAGGAGAAGCATCACACATTTCCAGAGAAATGTACAGAAAACTTCTACTTTGTGAAAGTTTGGTGCCTGTCAGCCAGAAATCTATCTTCTTTTTCCAGGTCTCACTTCAACAGTAAGATGTTTATTGGCAGGTGGGAGATGCCAGCCCACTGTTAGCTCCATGGCTCCAAAAGAACTCGCTGCAAGACTGCTGATCCTGTTTGAATTACCTGAGCAGTTAACAAACCACAGATCAGCTCTTGAGCAGAGTAAGATGCCCTGCCACACCTGGGAGAATATATCAACTCCCACCTGACTACAACCTCCCTTCAGGGAGCTGTAGAGAACCACAAGGTCCCCTCTGAGGCACTTTTTCTCTATGCTAAACACCCCCAATATTGCAGTGGGCGGTGTTCAGAGTGCCATGATCTTCCCAAAGAAGACTCTTAAAAAAAAGACACCTCACTGTCTGTGCTCATGCTGGGTGATTTCAGCTCTTTTATGATTCAAGTGACACAGAAGAAGAGATGGGGTCTTTGTGGGGAGTTCCAAGGAGAGCCTTTACCAAGCTTCTTCCTCAAAATAGTCCAAGAGTCACTCAGGCAGGGAAAGCCGGGAAAGCAGGGATTTATAGAGGGATCTTGAGGGGTGGGACAGAACACTAGGGCCAATGGGATGAGGGCACAGGGGTGGAGTGAGAGGGAAGGGCCAATGGGATACATTTAATCTGCATGTCACAACGAGGCATGCTGGGAGAAGCCTTTTTCCTCACCCTAAAAGGTGGTTCTGAGTTTTCCCTCTATGGTAGTACAGTGGATTCTTTCCTTGTTGGCCCACCAGCCTCCGCACCCCACCTCCCTCAGCCCTTCTTTATCAGACTTGTGCTCTTATGGAAATGTTTCTAATAAAAAGGACTAGCATTTGTGGACATTAGTATCCTTGAAACTACATGCTCAGGTGCTCTTATTAATTAGTTCCTTAAGCTTGCTCTCCCACAAGCCTTAGGAGTAGCTCAACAGACAGTTTTTTCCCTAACGCTTAAGATTTTTTACTCAAGCATTTCCTGATTACTGTGGTCAAGACAGCACCAATCACCACTTCACCCACAAGAGCATTTCTATGGACAAACAACAGGTCTAGGAGGGCATTTTTCCTAGTTGGCTCCCACAGTACCCATGTCAAAAAGCTATTTTCACTGTGGACTTAAGGAATTCTTTGGGCTTGTTTAGCTCTTCTCTGTGATATTTCCATTTGCAACTAAGAAGCTGAGGTGCACCATGAGTATGACTTTGTGTACGACTGATCAAGAGATTTCCTTTCATTCCTTATAGCATCATCCACCAGTGTCATCATCCTGGCTCAGTGATCCATTAGAGACTGGGTGAAGCTCACAGAGGGAATAGATTCTCTCAGAAAAGGGATGGCAGTCAGTGTCCAAGTGGTAACTGCACTCTCTCTCACAAGCCCCCTGGTCAGCTACATTAGATTTGACTCCATGAGTATCCTTTTACTCTAGAGGAAAGATGTGGCAGCAATTTCCCCTGCCAATTGAGCAGTGCCTTCTCCATGTCCTGCATTCTCAGATCTGTGTCAGCTTTTCCCCAGGGAGTGTCTAAGGATGGGCAGCTTCTCCTCCTCCACAAGGAGGAATATTAGCGATACCTCCTGCATGGTCCCTGACCAGCTGGAGCTGCCAGCAAGAGTTTCTGGGTCCACCTAAAATGGTCACCCTGGCTGTGACAGTATGAGAGGAAAGGGTGATGAAAGTCATCTTTGTAGCCTCTGTAGGGTGACGACCCATCCTTAAGGGGAAGGAAGCACCAAAGATTTGCAAATGCTTATGATTGAAAGGAATAACAAAAGTCGGGGGCCCACAAACAATCAGAAAACTTTATTAACTAACTACACACTGGGCTTGGAAATCGATATTTGTCCCCCTCCTATTATAAAGCACATGGCAGTGGGTTTTGGATAAAAGGGTAGGATTAAAGGGAAGAGAGGAATTAAAGAGGGAGAGATGAATTAAAGAAAGAGAGAAAGAAAAAGACGAAGAAAAGAGAGAAAAAAGAGAACACCAGTCCTGGTTACAGTGTTGATCCAGTTAATGGAATGTCAATCCCGGCTGCAATGCCAATCCAGGAGATAACCCTGGGTTCAGCATCAATCCAGCTGTGCCTGTCTGGTCTATGAGATGTCCAGGGTCCTGAGGGCACTTCCCAGGCTTGGGGGTTACCTTTTTATTCACAGGTTTCTCTGCCCTAAAGACAGGTTTCCCACTGTCTATGTCAATTAATTAGCATGTACAGTCCTTTCTTTCAGGCCTTCCTGGACATGGCTCAGATGGCTTTGATGGTTTTTGGGTGTCTGAATCCTACGCTATAGTCCATGCCCTCTTCTTGGCCCTATTCTTGTGCTTATGCTGTACTGTGCTGTGGCTCTTTCTCACAGAAAAGTGCTGCCATATTTCCTCCTGGTCCCCCATTTCCAGACAAATCTTGGTCTTTCTCACAGCATGTTAATATCAGCAGGCCTTGGCTATTATCAACAGTCCCTGGTTGGCTCCAGTGCCATCCAATGTCCAGTGTTAGAGACACACACATTGGTCCCTTATGTTCTGGGAATCAAGAGCTCAAAAGGTCTGACATAGACTGCTTTACACTCGCAACAGAGTGGGCTTTAGTCATAGTAGTTTTCCATCATTCAGGTCTTTTATCTTTATTTGAAAGTTTGTCAACAAAAAGGTTATTCCACTTGGGTTCGTAGTCAGAAAAAGTCAGGAAAGAAAAATAAGTTTCCGAGGCTGTTCCTTAAAAAAAAAAAACGGTGCTAATTAGACACCTGTTAGTTCCTGGGAACAAATAAAGTTTCGTATACATTCAAAAGGGGCTAAGTACAAATGGAGTTTGTCAAGGCCAAGGCCTAATGAGTGTTTCCCATATTGTAGTGCAGCCAGGGGCAGGGGGAGTGCATCACCATAATCTACCCTGCAATGGAAGTCAGCTTCTCTGGGCCTCCACATGGTAGTCATCACTGTGGATGCTGTGGGAGACTGTCGAGATGACACAGCTCTGTTGATGGCAGAGGGCTGCTGCATGGCATTTTACCTTCTCTCTCTGTATCCCACATTCTCTTCTCTTTTTCTTGGCACTATGAGCTGGTTTTCTGCTACTGCCCACGAGGCCCACAAACCTAGCTCTGTTAATGAGCACCTCTTTCAGCAGCCATTGAGCAGCACACTTGTGAGCCGATGCCGAAGATCCCGGTACTCGCTCATTGCCTGGGAGTGGGCAACTGGATACCATGCCAGATGATAGAAGAGATTGGGTGGCTCAGCTGATGCAATGTCCAGAGGCAAGCTAATCTCCTGAGGCAATCTCTTGTTGCCTATGACAAAGTGCTTAAGGCATTTCTCCTCCAGGCAGCGGCGCAGGTTCGCATTGATATCTCCCAGGCGCCGCAAAAAATACCTCCTGCGCCATCGTGACACGGGAACGGTGTTCAGGAGGTGCATGACAATGGTCTTCATGGTGTAGGTGGAAAAGCCGAAGCCCAGCTGAAGATGGGAGAAGAGCTGCAGGCATCTCAGGTGCAAGCTGTCTGGGGGGGCCTGCCTAGCAATGTGCTTGAAGAACTTCATCTCTGCCACATCATAGGTCTCCAGCCACAGAGTGCTTGGGGTTCCAGCATATCCTGACTGGCTGCTCACAAAGATGTCAGAGTCACCTCTCCGCACCCCGAAGACCATCTCAGTCCTGAAGCTTTCCCTGCCGTTGGTCACCTTGAATTGGCAGGAGCGTGTGGAGGGCAGCAGCACTAAGTGCCAGTTGTGGGACTGAGGCAAAGCTGGCCAGACTGCTCTCACCAGTTGGTAGAACCAGCGGGCAGTTTTCTGCACGTCCAGGTAGGAGCCGGTGCACAGGGTGTCCAGGAGGCTGGGATCCTGGTTCCTTCTCAGCTCCTCCTCGGGGTGGTGCAGGAAACACAGCATGTTCTCAGCCTGCTGCTCCCTGGTGCAGGTGCACTCCAGCTGCACGCGGACACGGAAGTTCCTCACGAGCCTCTGCCCTGCACTGTCCAGCTCCAGGTGGAAGCTGTGGCCTCGCGGAGGAGTCATGGGGATGAGCACGCGGTACACCACATCCTGCTCACGGGGACTCCAGCTTTCAAAGGCACTGCCCACCCCGATGGCTCTTTGCAGGACTGGGTAGAAACTGTTTGACAAAACATGTCCAAAATAAACTGTGTAATTGTCCATCAGGTCTATTGTCCGCTCGCAGCCTCTCTGCAGGTCCTGTACAGGCCACCGGATGCGCTCGTCTAGAAGCCATTTCAGATCATTGTCAGAAAAATGGTCTTCATCTCCCTCGCTGCTGTTCTCTGCCTCATCACTCCTTTTTTTCCAGGAGAAATACAGTCCCAAGAGAAGGATGAGGAGCCCAGCAACAGCCCAGACCTGCCAGGGCTGCAAAGCAAAGCAGAGCTGGTCACCCCAGACCCCTCCACTCTGTTTCAGGGTGAGCTGCTCCACCTGCTGCTCCAGTCTAATTCTCTTCCTCTGCAAACGCTTTCCATGCAGCTCCATGCGCAGATGTTTCTCCTCATCCAAAACATCACCCACAGGCTGCATGTACTGGATGAGGCTTTCCAGAAGCATGAAAAAGAATGTTATGGCGTCCATGGTCTACAGGAGGATGAAGAGCAGGCTTAAATGGGGCCAACAGGGAGGGAGATGACAATGAGGGCAGCAGGGATAGGAATAACAGAGATTTGGAGGCAGGAAGGACAGGGCCCCACATAGCTGGCAGGCAGCAAGGGATGTCTCACTGCCCCAGCAGCAGCTGCATCAGCCCTGTGGCCTGCCCAAGGCTCTCCCATGAGGAGCTGTTCCTGCATGCAGAGGGAGAACCCAGCCCCAGGGGCAGCGTTTCTGCCCCAGCCCTTGTTCCCAGCCCAGCCTTCTCGCCACGTGTGCACTCACCACTTGCCAAAGCAATGCAGGGCCAGCGTTACCTGCTGGGGCGTTTTAGAGCTGCCCCCTTTGTGACACGTCCCCCATGATGCCACACGTGTCACAGCATAATCACAACCCAGCCAAGCCAGCCCTGCCTTTCATCCCCACCCCCACTCAGGCATTCAGTGTAGCCGGAAGCAATCAGAGGCTGGATGCACACAAAGTGCACACCGAACTGCAGGTTAAGCTGTGGAAGGACTAGAGGTGTGGCTTCTGGGACAACCTTCTAGAGGGTTATAGCTACAGCTTGAGCAGCTCTCGTGCTGACACAATTCACAGTGGAGTGGAAGATCTGACTGTGGTGGATCCAAGTGTGTGGTACTACTAAAGGGCCTCTGTACCCTCACTGTTGTTTTGGAGGAGTGTCCACCCATCCTTGACTCCTGGGGAGGAGGTGCCGCATTCCTGAGCACACAGGACATGGAGAAGACATTGCTTTGTCAGTGTTTGTAATTTTTGGTGCACCATTCTCTAACAGCAAAAGCTCAGTCTGGGAGTCAGATCCAAAGATGAAGAGGCTGTGGCAAGGAGCCTGGAACTAGAGCCTCGTGTTACCACATGGACACTGAATGCTCTCTCTATGTGAGAGAGCCCAATACCTCTGGAAATTTCACCCTGTGCAAAGATGCCAATAAATGGCATCTTGAGCAAATGCCTCCTCTGTCGAGTGTCTGTGCCTCACTTTGGTGGGGAATGCAGGCACCAGTACTCACTACTTGTGGTCGGTTCACCTTGGCTGGACAGAGAGAAAAAATAAGGACCAAAGACTTGTGGGCTGAGACAAGAACGGAGAGATTGCTCAAGCTCATCTGTTAATAGCATATTTAATTCACTACCACTTGAATCAGAGTGAGATAAAGAAAAATAAAACCAATTTTCTTAAAATATCTTTCCCACACCTCTCCCTTCCTTCTGGGCCCAACTGATCACTGTGTCCAATGCTGTGAGGCAGGATTCACACAGCACTTGAGTAATTCTCCATGCTGGGTTGCTTAACACAGCAGCCCTTACCTCCTGAACACAAGAGGTCTTAGCCAGCTACCAAAGGCAAGTGAGCAACTTCAGCATTTTCTTCACTCATGAATATCAGCCCATTTCCTTGACAACTGATAGCTATCCACAGGAATTTGGCTTTGCAGACCTGAAATAACAAACTAGGAAGTAGGAGGATCTCCGTGGAATACTTTAGCCAAAGTATTTGACAATCTGGCATAAGATCACAGCATAAAAACTAAAATGACCCATGTTTGAAGACTAAATGTTCTGACCCATTATGAGGAATAGATATTTATAGGGAAACTGTAAGAAAGTGTAAAAAATACTGATTATTTAATGGTTTTAGCCCTAAGCACAACAGGAAGTACAACCACCATGACATGGTGATTCCCATGGAAACTGATAATATTTTCCATTAAACTGGAATTTATTTTAGGCAATAATCTGTTTAAGGACACAGAATGCATAATGCTGCAGGTAAGATGCCATATGTAGAAAAAGAAAATGGCTAAACTGTGGGCATGACTGGGATGTGGAGGAGGAAAGGACCCACTTAGGACAGAGGACTCAGTGTAAGAAAACCCTGTCCCAGCACATCATGTTACAGGAGGAAATGTTCCCTGCCCTCTGTTACCACTGGATGTCACTGCCTGGGTTTCCCTGCAGTGGACTGGGTAAATAATGCAGGTGGAAAAAGTCAGCATGGCTCCTCCTTGCCTGGCCCCTTAATTGCCTCACAGATCTCTCCTAGCTCAGGAACAAAAAGTATTCATTAACTGCCTTACCAGACACACTGCCTCCAGTTAATTAACTGCCTTACCAGACTCACTGCCTCCATGACTGCCAGGGCTATGACCAGCTCATCCAAGCTTCCTTTCTGTCCTCCCTGGCCCAGGATCCACCTCCCCGCCCAAACCAGGGCTGTCAGTCTGTGTTCCAGGGGCATTGCAGATTCCTCATTCCAGCTTGCCCAGCCCAGCCATGGGTCCCAAAAAGCCAAGTCCACCAGGAGACCCGGCCTGGCCCAGTCCCCACAGCCCTGCCTGGCTGAGCTGCAGGATGATTTTCTCACTTTTTTCTCACAGAAAAGAAAGATTTTGTCTGACAGGGAAGGTATAGGTTGGATATTAGGAATAAATCTTTCACCAAAAGAAAAATAAAGTACTGGAATGCTCTTCCCAGGGAGGTGGTAGAATCACCATCTCTGGATGTGTTTAAAAAAAGACTGGACATAGCACTTTGTGCTATAGTCTGGTTGAGGTGTTAGGGCATAGGTTGCACTCGATGATCTTAGAGATCTCTTCCAACCTCATCATTCTGTGATTCTGTTATTCTGTGACTTGAACTTGTCCTGTCTCATCACCATAAACTTGCTCTATGAACACTCAGCAGGGCTGCTGAGAGCCTCCAGGTCTGCCCTGCTCCCTGGCTGGGGGCAGTGGGACAGAGAGACCACAGTGTTAGCTCACTCAGCTCCAGGACCCTGAGGGAGCTGCCAGCCCTCACAGCACCTGAGCACGAGGTGTGCAGTGCCATGATAGCCACGTTCTGCCACCACCCCTTGCCAGGGAACTGCACCCCAACCCACCACAGCCTTGGGCAGGCCAGTGGGTCTTGTTGCTGTAACTACAAGTCAGAGGTTGGGTGGCAGTGGGGCAGTCCCAAGGGAATTGGACCAGCAGAAGTCCTGTCAATTTATGGGCTGTGGAGAAGTTCTTGGTAGCTGGATCTGTTGGTTTCCCACAACTGAAAGCTATAGAGATGAGGCTTCACTTCCATTTCTTCAGCTTCTTCTTGAGAAACAAATACCATTGAATAGGTCTGTCAGAACTTATGACACCATAACGGGTTGGAGACTCAAGAGAAGAGGTGCTGCCAGCAGAAATTTGTTTTGATTTACAAAAAGAGTTCTATTAACTTGCCTGGCAGGTTCAAGGCCAGGTTGGATGGGGCCCTGAGCATGGCCCTTCCTGACATAGTGGGTGTCTTCCTTGCCCACAGCAGGGGGGTTGGAAGTAGATGATTTTTAAGGTCCTTTCCAACCCAAACCATTCTATGACTTCTGTGATAACTTGCACCTAGGTGGGATGTATTAATGATCTCCCAATGGACAAAGGTAATGGTGGCTGGTTCACCACTTACGGTGTTCCCATTTACATTCCCAGCTATCTAGACAGGTTATCAGTGTGTTTATGAAGCAGTTGTGAAATGCCAGCGTCAGCCTTTGGATGAGGGTGTTGTACCTACGGCAGCTCCCAGCACTTGGGAAGTGCTTGGTTTTCATGACTGGGGTGGATGGAGTCAAGCTAACACAGTACCCAGATCCCTGTGGGGAAACTGAGTCAGAACAGTCAATGCTAATGGAAAATACTCTTACCTTTACGAGGAATGGCTTCAAGTAAATCATTCCACTGAGTGAATTCCCTCTTCCTTTCTTCCTCAAAGCAACCTATCTGCAAGCATCCTAGCAGTGAACTGTGTTTTCCCTCCCTTGTTCCCTGTGGAGGTGTCAACCCAAGGATGAACAAGATGCTGTATGATGGGACACTCCTCTCACATCCAAACAATCTGTAGTGGTAATTAAAGATACACAGGCAGGCTATTAAAGATTCTTTGTATGAAGAAACAGACTGAGAAAAGTTGATGCATATTCCCTGTTCCAGAGCTAGAGAAAAAACAAGGTCACCAAACTTCCTTGCAATCAAAGGTTTCTGGAGATGCAGGCACAAAATAGCCCCTTTGGAGAGGGGCTTAGAGGGAAACCCAACTTAGTCTATATATACAGGCTGGAGGAGACAGCATAAGAAAGATGAGGTTTCCTGGCATCTTACCCACACAATCAAACCACGGCAGCTATCACCAATATTGAAATTCTCATGATCTTCCATGAGTTTCATGTTTTTGTCACCTATTTTCCCCTCAGATGAACTGAGGAAATAATCCAGTTGTATTATATTCATGTCTGTTGAGAATGATGAACACGTGTTGCATTTGTACATGTAAAGGGCTTTATCTTATCTCATGGGGCTGGAAGACTGAGAGACACAAAAGAATTGTCCTTATTTTAGAGCAATAATTTAAATCTGAGGAAGAAGCACACCTTTGACGTCTAGCTTCAAAAGAAGTTAAAGGAAACACGGCACATCCTGTTTCAACAAACCCTTTTCCAGTAACCCTAAGGAAGATCTTCAAACATGTAAGTGTTTCGGAAGCTGCTTACCTTCATTCATAGTCTTCCTGTTTTCCTCTAAGGTCAAACAGATTTATATGTGAAAGGACAACCTGCAGTTGACAGAGTGAAGCCACATGCTGCTTCTTGTTTACACCAGTTCTGCAAAGCTAATCCCAGAGTCTCTGCCTTTTCTTGATGTTTTCAAACTCAATAAAACCACAAAGACTTGAAGAGCAGAATTATAAATGCTTTTTCAAAGGGTGATTTACTTCAGTGTGTTCTCATTATTAAAGTAGGGCATCTGCTGAAATAAAAAAAGAAATTGTACACAAAGCAAATGAAAATGCTGGGAAATAGAAAGTCAAGAAAATTAATGGGTGTTAACAATGTCCACGGTGCAGCCAAGCTCAGACCTGTCTGCTGTCAGTTGCAAAATCAACATCTTCATTAAAAGGCTTCCCTCTCTCACAAGCTCTTCTCAGTGGCAACCAAATTCTTCTTGAAGCTAATGGGAACAAGCTCTGACATTTATATAAATGACTTCTAATTGCATGAGAACCATCCTTCTGAAACCAGCAGAAGCTACATTGCTGTAGGTAGCAGAGAATCAAAGTCACTTCTGTTGGCAAAGACCCTTAAGGTCATCGAGTCCAACCATTAACCCAACACTAACCTATGTCCCTAAGCACCATGTCTGATGACCTTAGAGGTCTTTTTCAACCTAAACAATTCTATGATTTTATGACTCCATGGATCTGATGGCATGGCACCAGTACCAGTGTAATGCATTCCCTTGGATACACTGCAGAGGAATTGCTGGCAGAAGAACCCGTTTGAATTTGGCATATATGCAACCACAGCCATTTGCCTGTGTGTCCAAGGTTTTGCCCTGAGCTATTGAGACTCTTCAGGGCTGCATGACCCTGCCCTGCGCTGCAAGCAGTCAAGTGAAGCCCAAAAGATCAGTCCAGCTGCATTTCCCTGAGGCTGCCCCTGAACACGGGGCACGAAGGATCGGAGGCTTGCCCTGGAGTCCTGTTCTTGGACTCAGCAGGACAAACAATGGTTTTCCAAGCAAACTCCTCTGTGAACCCCTTCCAGAAGGCTCACCTGTCCCCAGAGCCTTTTGAGCAGGAGATGGCCACCTGCCAGCTTCTCCAATCCTGACCCACTTTTCCTGAGAACCCAGCAAGGGAGAGTTTCACAGACAAGAGGAAATCCCTGAACAGCATGCAGCTCAGAGAATGGAAAGTTTTTTCTTGGGGAGGGTTGGGTTTATTGTGGTTCCCCTCCCCCCCCCCCGCCACTTCCAGCTTTCCAATGAATGCATCTGGCAGCACAGTGTCCCTGCCACTGCGGGATCCCAGCGGAAAACAGAGCAGGGAGGGCTCTTCCTGCCCGGGGGAGGCTTCCCAGGAGTGTGAGGGATTTACAGTCACCTCCTGTGGCTCCCCATCCCCTGCAGAGTCGCCCTGAAGGCCATGTTCGGTGGCAGGCTGCAGACAGCTCTGCTGGTGGCTGGCTACTTTGTCTACCTGCTGGTGGGTGCTGCCGTGTTCCAGGCCCTGGAGAGGACTGCCGAGAAGCAGGAGAAAATGGCAGCTGCCCAGATGAAGGAGGCTTTTCTGCAGAACTTCACGCAGCTCACGGTGGCGGAGATGGAGCAGTTCATGAAGGTGAGTGGAAGGCCTTTCTCCCTCCTGTTTCTCCATCAGATGTTGTTTCCTGCTCATCCTTGCTGCACAGGTAACTCTCACTGCTTTCCTTCTGTTTGTGGTCACTTGGATGCTTCCAGCAAACCCCTGTCTGGTGTGAGCAGGCAGCTCAGTCTGATGGTAAATACAGCTTGTGTAGCTGGACAAAACCTCATGTGTGCTAGCTATTAAATATCCCCATCCCACAATAGCCTGTGTTTTTTGGGGTCTTGCCTCCTGTTGACTCTGCTTTTAGTGAGGCTGTGTTCTTATACAATGGGTGGCATGGCAAGAAAAATGAGGCTATCTGAAATGAGTAGGTGTAGCTGCCACTTGGAACAGCATCACAGATAGTGCAATACAGAAACAATAAGGAAAGGTGTTGATGGGGGGGGGGGAACCCAAAAAAACTCCAAATAGCTACAAGGAAGGTGGCATGATCAGAGTTCAGTTTTTGAGGAGGGTGGCATGATCAGAGTTTAGTTTTTGAGCATGCCCCAGAAGAGAAACAAGTAGCCTGGCCAGGGGGAAATATTTCTGGTCATGGCACAGGAAGATGAAGATTATTATGGCTGTCTCTTCAACTTGGGTGTTTTAGAGCTCTATGTGCTGTAATGCAGGAGAAAATGAGAAGTTAAAGCCTTGCTGGAAGCATTTCCACATGGAAATGGCTCACTTCACAGAATAAAGAAATGTGGGGAAGAACTGGTGTTTCTAATAGACGAGCCAGAAATTCAGCCCCTGTTTCACCCATGCATGCATCCTCTTCACCTGGTTTTTTATGGGTAGGGAAGAAGGTAAAAAAAAATAAAATAGAGAGCTTTTCAAGAAGGGAAGGGAAAAAATGAACTTTTAAGACAAAGAAATCTTTGTGCAAGGGCTATGGAAATTATTTTTGTTAGCCTCAATTTTCTGAGACACCAGCAAAAAGCATAGTGAAGGGAGAAGCAGGGAGGAAGATTTTGCTGGTGCAGTTTATTCCAGCACGTGTCCTGCTTCTGGCAGGACTCTGTCCTGGATTTTATCTCAGTTGTTTCTGTACAAACCAGCCTGCCTTCCAGATGTCCAGTCCAGTGTTCTCTGTTTGCAAAAGACAGGGACAGCTGGATACTGTTTGATTTTAAAATTTCCTTTTAGCTTAAAAAAAAAGAAAAAAAAAGAGAGTTAAAAATATAATGGCACTTAGAATTAAAACCAAGGAAAAGTCTGAAAATGCATAAAGTGATAAATATAGCACTGGAGAGGTGTGGAAGAAATATTTAGTCAAGCCTTGTGGGGCAGGGCAGTCTCAACTCAACTCAACCCAAACCATGTCTGACAGATGTTCCTCTAACCTCTTCTCAAAGGCAACTTTGCAAGCATGTGTGCAAATGTGTAAATTTATCTATGTGTATACAGGTTGGAGAAGAATGTGTATGTCAGGCATTGAAAATCAATGGATTTTCTCTGAATTTAATTCTGTGACACTAACCAAAATACAGATTTGAAATGAAATGCTCAGTGTATCTCATGTGTACCCTGGCACAGCTCATTGATGCAGCACTGGGAGGGATCAGAGCCGCTGCTCATACAGGTGGGTGATCAGATCTTGGATCCCCCACTGCCATCTCAACTGCAAGTCCAAATCCGACAATCAGCCACCCCCATCTCTTAAACCAGTGCTCTGCCTCATCCCAGTCACTCACAGGATTGTGATTTTCCAAACTACTTGGCCTGAAAAAAACAAGGTCCTTGGTCACACTGAAAGAAACAAATTCTCTCCAAACACCCACTAGAGCAGTCAGCACAAGCAGGGCAGAAGTTGAACACCCAAACCCACTGGATAATGGCTTCCCAACCTTGGAGGTGAAGGTGTGAATAGTGTCAGACAGTCTCTGAAGGGAGGTGAGTGTTACTTACAGGAGAGGAGCAGCAGTTGGCTAAACCTGAAATATTTTTGCAGCAAGCACTTGAGAAAGGCAGTCATGATGATACCAAACTTTGCTTTCTCTCCCAGAACCTGATTGAAGCCATTCAAAATGGAGTATACCCTGTTGGAAATGAGTCACAGTTTGAAGAGAGCAACTGGGATTTCAGCAACTCCTTCTTCTTTGCAGGCACAGTTGTCTCCACAATAGGTAGGTCTAATGCTTTCCATTTATGTGTGCTTGTGTGTGAGTGATGGTTATTAGGACATGAATGGATAATACTTTCTGGAATAAAAACTCCAGACCTTTGTTGTCATGGGTTAGTCCTAAGACCTTCCCAGTGCACAGCTCTTCATGTTTTATTTTGACTTGTCAAAATCAGTGGCCTTTCCTATTATTTCCCACTTGTCTCTTCTTTTCAAATCATCTGTACTAATGTTCACTCTGCTGGTATTTGTAGGTGGCAGATAAACTTCACTTTCCTGGTGTTTTTTCCAGGCTTTAAATCTGAGAGTGCTGTAAAACATAAAAGATGTAAGGAAAGAAGTGAATCCTGCTGGGGGCTGGGCACTGTCTCCACAACCTGTTTTGAGCTGTTAATTCATATATTCAATTAGAAACATGCCAAGAGGAAAAAAATGGGAAGGGGTAAAGGCAAATGCAGAGAATTTTACACTGCTGCTTCAAGCTGTTCTGACATTTACAGGGCCTGTCTGCCCCTACCTGCTTCATCCTTTCTTTCAAATGTGCATCCCAAAAAGGGCAGGCCTGCCAAACTTAAGGATAAAATCCATACTGTTGGCACCTGCTTCACAGTCATGCAGTGGAAGTCAGATCTGTGTTTTTACAGAGTGGTGCTGAGGCCTCACTGCCACCAGACCCTAAAAGCACATCTGATCTGTGAGTGTGACATGTCCCAAGGGCCCCAGCAGTGTCCCAGCACCACGGGAGATTCCCAAGGGCCCCAGCAGTGTCCCAGCAACATGGGAGATGTGTAAGTGCTGCCTGAGCCCACAGGGAGATCTCCTGCTGTAGAAGGGGAGGGTTCTGACCCATCACTGAACCTGGAATATTTCTACAACAGGGAGCACAAGAGAGCTCATGCATTTGGAAATCCAGTAGCCCAAAAATCACTCAGTTGTTTTGTCTTTTCTCCCAAAGAAAACATTGCATTTTCCAAGTAATGGATGTCTTGACATGAACTGTGCATGGGAAATGCAGTTTCCCAAGGTCACTGATAGCATAAGGACATGCACAAAGTTCAGTATCCTTGCACTCAGGCATGTAATTCATGGGGTCCAAGAGTCTTGAGGCTGAAGGACATGTTTGGGGTAGTTCCACTACTTAGATAAATCCTCTCTTAGTAGGATCTTAGGGCAGATGTCTCTCTGGCATGAATAAATCAGCCACCAGCAAGGTCTGGGCTAATTAGCACCATCAATTCTAATGCACAGTGCCTTGGGACTGGAGTCAGTATCTGGACACAGCAGCTCACTGGGATGGAGCCAGGGAGGTCACTAACACACAGGCCCATCAACAAGAAGCTGGAGATGTGATCCTGACAGCCTGGGACTCCAGCTCTGATGTCTTCCAGATCCTCAGAGTTCTATTTTCTGACTTTCCATGTATTTGTCATAGGACAGAGCATGTTTCCCATAATTAAATCTTGACTGTGTTTTTGTTCCCACTAAGGCTGTGTTGGGAACACACAGTGCTTCTGCATTTCCCCAGACATGCAGGGTGAACCACTTCATCTGCTCACTGCCTTTTTCAGAGGAAAAAAAAGTGCATTTGGGCTGAGAAGCACTAGCCACATCTTTTAGGGTCAAAGGCAGGCTGAATTGGAGTAAAGGGTGAATATGACTGTGAATTGCTGCAGTTCTTTGGAATATCTCCTCTGACCCATCTTTTTTTTTTTTTTTTTTATAGGCTATGGCACATTACATCCTAAAACTGCTGGGGGACAGATATTTTGTGTGTTTTTTGCTCTTTTTGGAATCCCTCTGAACATTGTTTTTCTGCACCGTGTCGGTAAGATGCTCTCACTGCTCTGTAAAAAGCTGGGGAAATTCCTGTACGAGAAAGGAATGAGAAAGGTAATTGGTTTTATTTACTCAGACACAATTATATGCTCATTTCTAGTGTTTTTCTCAAGTTTTATGCTGCCTTATCCTCGATTGTATTTGCTCTTGTGCTGGTTTAGATGTTGTTCTAGGGCAGGAAAAGAGGCGTTTTTCACTTGCAGAGCTAAGCAGACATGTCAGCCATAGAAGAGATATTCAGACAAAGGCATGCATTTTGTCTTCCCATCTAGATGGCAGAAATCCACCCCCTTCAGCAGTCAGTGGAGAGATGGGGCATCCCACCTCATTTCTTGAGACACTTATCTCAGGAGCCAACACCCTAGGGAAGTTCATGCATCCCTTTAAAACCAGTAAGGGTGATTAAACATCACCTTGAGGCTGCAAAAAGCGGGTGAGCTGTGCAAAACTGTAAAAATTAGGTGAGATGTAGAGGTTTTAGTGGATTTTAACTCAATGCATAGTGTGCTACCCCTCCTAACTGATTACCCAGTCCTTTAGTCTCTCTCCATCCTTAACTTTGACAGAAAGGAAGCATCAGGCTGGAGTTGTCCATTTGAGCCTGGTTGCTGAAAGATGAGGAGACACCTGTAACAAGCTACAGACAGGATGGCTTTTGTCTGGTTTATGCCCAAATTTATTTTCAGCTTCACCCCTTCTCTCAGCATTGCTGAGGAAGTGAGAATAGCTTTTCTGTGTCTCCTGCTGTAATTCTCTTTCAGGACAAGGTATGATTGCTACAGATAACCCTGTTCAGATTGCTGAATTCCCTGTCATATCTGGCAAACTTAAACAGAAGATAAGGCTCAATCAGATACAGACTCTAGCATGTACACAATACATGAAGACATGAGAAGTTATCCAGCAGTTGCCATTAATTTCCAGGCAATCTGGATTTGGAAAATTTTATACATAGAAACTATGTGTGTCTGGCTGATAAATCTCTACATATAACAAGTCTTCTTCTCTAGTTAAAGCTCCTCCATGACTGCTGGGAAGTAGAATGGTTTAAAAGTCTCTTTATCAAGACCTCATTAGTTTTTGGGTTTGTTTCTTTTTTTTTTCAGTGAGATATCCACTGGTTAGGAGCCAAGTTGTGGCATTGGTGCAATGAGAAATAAAGTCAGTAATTAAGACTCTTGAAGATAGTCCTGTCAGAAATGGTGCTATTAGTTTGTATAAAAAAACTGCTCTTTTCCCAGGCAAATCTGAATTTAGGTGCCAACCCTAACTACCTAAAATTTAAAAATGAAGTTGTATGGTGAAAAGTGGAAATGGTTTGACTCTGGTAAATGTCATTAGATAGGAATTTCTCCAATAGTCACAGTCATTGATACAATCAGGTAAAACACTACATCTTCCAGGGCCACTGTGGACATGCAACACTCATAACACCTGGCTTCCCACTGCTTCTAAGCAGAACTAAGGTATTTCCAGAGGAAAAGCATTCAGCAGAAATCCTTCAGATCCTCCTGATCCCAGATAGCCACCCACTTTGAATAACCACCATTTTATATAGCTTATTTCTGTCTCAAATCATGATTATAATTGAACTGGTTTCTTTTTCAGAAGAAGATCAAATTTCTGACCCTTTTGTTCTTCCTGGCAACGGGGATCCTGGTTTTTCTGTGCTTGCCATCAGTCTTCTTCCAGATAACAGAGGGCTGGTCCTACAGTGAAGGAATTTACTTTGCATTTATCACCCTCAGCACCATTGGCTTCGGAGATTATGTTGTAGGTAAGGTTGATTCCAGAGGGGAAACACATCCAAACACCAGGATAATGACTGTAATCCCCATGGGTTGACTGAATGTACTGTAGAGACAAATCTGTCACAAGTCTTTGCCTGATCTTTGCCTTGTACAGTTCAGGGGGAAAATACTCACTTCTCTGGGGTTGTATATACGGATAAAAGCACCAAATCATCAAAATATAAGGAAATTAGGTTCTTTGGGGTACAAAGAAGACAAATATTCTGGTTAGGGAAGAGTGAGGGAATTTTTATTACCAAGAGGCAACAGTTTGTGACAGCTGTACAAAACAAGGTGTGTATCACTGCTTTAGCCATCTCAGATTTAGGTTTCACAGTGTAAAGTGAAGAAATAAGTGATCATGTTTCAGAATATATGATTTCACACAACAGACTAAGAGGTGGAAATCCCATCCATGGGAAATTGGGGAAATCTACTCACAGTATTAGAAGTGGGGTTAAATATAAAAGTGCAGAAGTGGCCTTCTTTAGTCTCCTGAATATTTCTGGAGGTTTTTTATCCTTACAAACCACAGATTAGGATTTCCCCTGAAGAAACACTGTTTAAGCTGCACTCAAGCATGCAGGAGTACTTATCAAAACATTTTCATGGATCTGCTGGACAAAATACACTCTCCATGGAATAAGTTTCCAAATAAACTGCAAAATAATTACCAGGAGCAAAATCAGTGTCCACAGAAGAAGCAGGAAACTGAACTCCGTGGAGAATCCAAGATTTCTCTACAACAACCTGTCCTGCCATCTTCTTGCCAGCCTGAACTTCTCCTCAGCAGGGATATGCAAAGAAAACTGCAGCTAATACTTGCACCAGTGCTGTCCCCACAGAGGGTCTGGAAGCCTCACACACCTTTCTGGGGGACAGACATCCACCACACAGCAAACCCCAGGCTCTCAAGCCTTGCAGAAGTGCTAGACAGGCCTTGGAGCCTCTCTGTTGGAAGGATTTTTTACATCAGGCTGATGACTTTGGCAGAGGGAGCCCACAAACTTTTCCAGGCACTGATGTGTCACTGCTGACTGTAATTTCTCTAAATCTATTCCATTAAATAGTCTGCTGTACAGAATTATGGGGAGAGGCTGGTGCCATGCAGGAGAAAAACCGAGCATCAAAATGTTGCATTGTCTTTCCTTGTCCAAATCACAGGTGTGTTTTACTATAATGACAGCAAGTCACAGCTTGAAAACCATGACTTCATAGCACTCTGCAGCCATATTGCATTACTAAAACAATTAATTGTATTTTAACTTTCTAATTGTTATTTAAAAATAACAGTTAGATAGGCCTCATGGCTCTATGATTTCATCTTCATTAGGATGACTCAACTCGATCTAAAATGTTTTTCTGTGCCAGTATTTATCTTAATTGGCTTTAACAACAGTAATAAAATGTTGATAAGTTTAATGCTTCACATCTTCACAATGAAACAAGCAGAATCAATGAGTGCTCTGAGAATTATGCACTGAGAATTGCTTACAGATGATAAATGGTTTTGCATTGGCCAAGTGAAACAGAACAGGTTTGAGTTGATTTGCATTTTAGTAATTCAAAATTGTGTGTAGCTGAGCCTGTTTGGGGCAGCCAGATATGCTAGGAAGATGGCTCAGCCTGGGTTTAACTGTTGGGAATACATGTACATACAGTTGATACCTCTAGGGTGAAACTCATTGGAGTTGTTAGCTGAATATTCCCCGCTCAAGTCCAGTTTTGGGTTAACAATACAAAGATATTATGCTTTGTACCAAGGCTGAGAATCCCTTTGCCAACTCAATGCCAGCAGCAGAAAAAGAAACAACTATGCATGAGGACAAACCTGCCCAATGCTACCCCATTTCCAGAACTCTTGGATAGCAAAGAACAAAAATCTTGCCCATTAATCTATGCAGGACTTGAAAAGAGTTGCCAGCACCTGGGCTCCTTCTGGGCAGGTTCACCACAAGGTTTGTGGTGGTCTCCCTGTCCATGCACATTGTTATGTTATCCACTATGTCAAATCACCTCTGGCAGTGACCTGGAGCACTCCATAAGCAATATCACCAATTGTTCCTGCAGATGCCAGGGCCACACCACCTGTACCATGATGATAATACTGTGTAGAGCGAAGCAAATGCTCTCTGTATGTTGAGGTCAAACAAAATGACCCATGCAGAACACCAGGTGTGAGGTCCTGGTTGATGCTAAGAGGATCAGACTGCATGAAATAAGCTTTGGTCCACTGGTTTCCATCATAGAAAGTTCTGTTCTTGGCATGTGTCAGTAAATTCTCATCAGTCATGTAGGTTTTTAAATGGGGGAAGCTCCTGAAGCCATTCAAAAGTGAGGTGGGAATTGCAGCTACTCTCTCTGTGTGCTTGCAAGTACCTGTAATTTAAAGGAAATATTTATTAGGTTGTAATCACACTCTGTAGAAATACAGGGAATTACAATTACCCAGATAATAATGGTTGTGTGGTTATAGTGGCCCACTGTGCTCTGCTTTTTGTGCTTTGGGAGTTTGGGTATAATTCCAAGATAATACAATACAATTTAGCACTACTTCCCACATTATTTCATTTACCTGTACATGCAGCAGTTGAACTGGGATTGATATGTGGTAGGGGGGGGAAAATAACCTGCTCTGATGGTAATTCACCTCAGTCACAGGATCACAGAATCACAGAATGATTCACTTCAATTCCAGTGTGTCATTTGACAGGCCAGCGTATTTGATTCATATTTATTTCATATATCAGTTCATTGCAACAATAAGAGAATTGCCCAGCCTTAACCTAATGCTCTGGAGCTTAGAGTCTCCATTACAGCAAAAAAATCACTTAAAAATACTCAATATAAAACATACTGATGAATTCATTAGGCTGTTCCACTTTACACTGGCAAGGCAATTTTAACTTTTTAATTTTCTCCTTCTTTCTCCCCCTTTATCTTCAGGCAAACAGTCTGACAGGAAATACTTTTCCTACTATCGAGTGCTTGTGGCCATTTGGATTCTCTTTGGCCTTGCCTGGATTGCTCTGCTGTTTAATTTATTGACAACAGTACTAGAAGATACTGAAAAAATAATTGTCAAGGATCTCCAGCAAATTGGAAAGGTGAGTAAGGACAATGTAGGAAGCCAGCAAAGAAGATGCTGGCCTGTTCAATTTATTCCAGAAGAAGAACCACTACCACCACGTGCTGGAGGGGATGCAATGAAAATGGAGTCATTAACAGCAGATTCTGAATGCACAAAAAATGAAAAAAAAGTGTTTTCTAATAGCAAAACTATTGCCATAATGAGTCGAGAATTCAATTCTTCATTGGATAATTGCTAGTTAATTATTCTAAAGAAATTCCTATAGAAATAAAATTTCTCCTGCCTTTTGCTGAGATATGACCTTTTAGAACTCAAGAACTACAGTTACACAAAGCCTGGATATTAATGGTAAGAAATTTGCTCCTCAGTTTGCAGCTAGGTTGTGCTCATAGCCTGAAAAGTGCACTTGCTTTGCAAGGTGTTTTTAAGGTGCTCTCACAAAAATGCAGAGGAGGGGCATGGAAGAGCTTGCTGGTTCTGTTTGGATTTTGCAGCTTGCAAGAAATCATGTCTCTTCCAGGAACTGACATGCAGAAGCTTTTCTGGCATTGCATTGCACTTTTGGAAGAAGAAGTAAGGGTATATAATTTAATAGGTGCCTGACTTGAGCCATCATATTGGATAAGGTGTTATGGTCTGAAAACATGTTTAAATGACAAGACCTGATCTCAGTTCAGAGACACTTGAAGCATCTAATGGACAGGGTTATGAAAAGGTTAGCATGTTAGAAATGATTGATTCTACCTCTTCCTCTTTTATTCTAAGTTGAATAAAGGCAATTTCAGCTTTTATCCCTGTGGCTCTGAAAAATCTTTCTGATGGTGTTTATAAAAAACACATCAATGTCTTTAATTCAATTTTTATAATAATTTTATTCTGTAAGTTTTTAAATAAGAGCAGAGACCAGTTTGAAGGGAGGAGTCCTTGCTGCTGTATTTTGATTCTATAGGAACTATGAAGCCATTTAGCAATGATTCTGTGGTGCTGCTGTTTTCCAAGGGTGAGTGGAGTCTAAACCTTCAACCAGGTGAAAAAAAAAGGATGTCAGATCTGGGCATGGTTTTTCAGATGTGCTGTCTGGCCTGCAGGCCACTTCTGGGTGAAGACTCTGACCTTCAAAGGGTTGATCTATGTGTCACAGGCCTTCTGTGTGCCAAAGATGCATGGAAACCCAACCCCGAAGAGCTGGCAAAGCATCTGGGGGAGACACACAGCCACAGAGGTGAAACATCTCATGTGTGTTTGTGGTCACACCAAAAGTCAGTCCAGCCCAACACCATCTCTGACCACGCCTGATGTGTCCCCAGCAGTGACAGGGGGACAGGATCAGCAGCTCTGCCATGACCCTGCACAGGGGCCAAGCCTGGCGCAAGGCTGCCCATGCAGGAGGTGGGCTCTGTACATCAAAATCCATGAACTTGCCCAAATGCTGAGCTCACATCAGCACCCACAGGACCCCCCAGGCCTGTCCATGGCTTTAGTGCACCAAGTCCTCACTCTGACAGTGCTGAAGCTGTCACTTGACAGGTTGCTGTGAGCCCCTCAAGCTCCTCTTTAGTCAGACTGAATAATTGTTTTTTGCTCACCCTCTGGGTGCTACTTACAGCATGACCAGCCCATGCCAGAGTTATTCCTGTATGAAAGGGAGAATAAATTACAGCTATAAAGCAATTTCAAGTCATAAAGATGCAGTCAGCCTTGAAGCTGGATTCATAACTATCTCAGTCAAACAGAGTCTTGCTTCTTGCCAAAGCAATTCTGCTGGTTCAAGACCTGGCATGTAGACCTGGCCAAACATGCACTTTCTTCCCCTCCAGAAATTATTTTCCAGTGTTACTCTCAAGGCTGACTTCTCACCTCATATGTCTCTCTGTCAGTAAACGTTTTTGAGGCAGCAGGAGCAAAACCTGACTGAAATCAAAGAAGGGCAGCAGGCACCAGAGCCAGGCAGAGAAAGCAGCTGGATGCTCCCAGGCAGGGATCTCTTCACCTCTCTGTTTTCCCCTCTCACTGAGCATTAACCCACATTATTATTTTCCAGGCATCATTCTATTCTCTTTTTTTTCTTTATTTTTTTTTTCTTTTTCCCCAGCCCTTCCCAGAAGGATCGTTAACCCCGCTCCCAGTCTAATGTAGGGACTGCCAGGGCTGGTTTAGGGGGTGTGATGGTCCTGCCTTGGGGTGCAGTAGTCATTTTGCACAGCCTCTCATTTTCCTTCCATGCCAGTTCCTGGTGTCTGGAATGGAGGGTTTCCTCATCTTCTTCCCACTACTCCCTGTTGTGACAAATAACACAGCTCAGCCCTGGAACAGGCTGCTCATGTCCCATTGTAACACAGAGTGACCAAAGATGCTTTTTTTAGCCATTTCAGGAAGGGTAAGAGAGACATCCCATGGCCTCTGACTGTAAACAGCAAGCACAGAGCCAGGCAGTGCCTTTTGGAGCAAAAAAGGGCAAATTCTCATTCTTTTGCCCTCATGGGTGTTTAACAATGAGCCTTGAAACCCAAGCACTTCCCATTCCAGGAGCCCATCTGTGTGACCGTGTTCACAGGAATCTCAGGTTGAGGGAAGAGACGAGGATCTGACTCCATGTTTCAGAAGGCTGATTTATTATTTTATTACATATACTACATTAAAACTATACTAAAAGAATAGAAGAAGGGACTTCATCAGAAGGCTAGCTAAGAATAGAATAAGAAGGAATGATAACAAAGGTTTGTGGCTCAGACTCTCTGTCCGAGCCAGCTGAGTGTGATTGGCCATTAATTAGAAACAACCACATGAGACCAATCCCAGATGCACCTGTTGCATTCCACAGCAGCAGATAATCATTGTTTACATTTTGTTCCTGGGTCTTTTCAGCTTCTCAGGAGGAAAAATCCTAAGGAAAGGATTTTTCTTAAAAGATGTCTGTGACACATCTGTCCTGTGTAGTTATTGCCACAGGGTGCAGGCATTTTAACTCATCCCTTCTGCCATGCTCCAGGGTAAGGATGTGGCCCAGAGGGACTGAAAAAGCCACCCAAAGCTAGAGGATCCAGGAAACATTAGCCAGGAATGGCCATGGTGGGGCTGTCCACCTTCAGGCAGCAAGAGCTGAGGTGTCCCTTCAACTGGAGATGCCACCCTGGAGCACAGAAAACACATCCATAAAAAAATATAAAAATAAAAACTAAAAATATATAAAAATAAAACCCGTCAGGAGAAGCTCAGCTGCTGTGAGAAAGGAGGCTGCCCATTCATAAATCCTTACTCCAGCAGAGGCCTTTTGGAGAAGGATCTTATCTTTGCTCCTTGTGCCCTCCAGTGGCTGTGTGCTGCAGACCCTTTTCCTTCACATCCCTGCCAGGTTTGGGGAGCCTTTCTCCACCTCCCATTATTACAGCTCTGTTTTGTCACTGCCCTGTATTTTTATCCCGTTCACACGAGTTTGAAAAAGGCTAAAAAATGCCTCATTCTCCAGGAAGAGATGGGGATGAGCACCTCAGCCTGGTGCAGCCAAGGTCCCTGCCTTGTGCCCACCCTGAGACAGCTCTGTGGAGGCCAGTTGGAGGTGTGGTGGCTTTCTGCCAGCAAACCATCACAAGAAGGTTGTGACATCTTCCATCACAAGAAGGATCCTCACTGGCAGCACACACAGTGCTGATGGTGAGGAGCATTCCCAACACACGCCCCATGCAGCAGCTTCCCTTGCACAAAATCTGTTTTGGGGTCAAGGCACACATTCCCACCCCCTGTCCTACAGGGAAAGGGATTGGTCTGGGAAAAATTGTGCAAAAAGGCAATTTTGGGTGCAGGATCTGAGGCCTGGAGGGACTGGCTCCCTCTGCAGCAGCCTGGAGGGCAGGCAGTGCCTCCTGCAGCACCAGGGGTGGAGATAGGAGCTGCAGATATGTGGAAGGAAGAACCAACATCAAAGGGTGTGTGGTCCTCTCTGCTGGGAAAGGCAAGGGGAAAGCTGGGGAAAGCTTGGGAAAGCTGCAAGCCAGGGTGGGAGAAGAACTTTTTTTGGATGTGCTGTTGTTCCTCGTTCTTAAGCTAAATGATAAATCTGCCTCCAAAAGGGCTTAGGCACAGTGACAAATCTCTCCAGGGCTGGAGCAAGCAGCCTTTTCCAGCATTATCATCCTCAGAGCATTGCACAACAGCACTAGAAATTGTCCTCACATCACCCTGGAAAGGGGAATTGTTGATTCCTGTGCAGGTAACAGGGCCCCAGAGAAAATTCAGTGTATCCCAAACTCGTGCGTCAGACCTCTGGCTCTCTCAGCCAGGACCAGGTGTCCTGGAATTGTTTACTGATAAACCAGACCCAGACAATGATTCTCTACTTGTTGAGGTTAAAAAAATAGACTTGAATTGAAAGCAGAATTAGAGCAGAGATTCTACTCCACATCTGGAGATTTAAAATAATCCCAAGATTTTTAATTCATGAGTATAAGCCAGGCTTTGCTGTTCTTCTGCACGTTCTCCTTGCCCAAGGGACAAAAACCAGGAATAAATCCATTCCAAATCCCTGTTCTGCCAAATGACAGAGGGACAGAAATCCTCTGGAGACCAAGCAGAAGGGTTTTCCACTGGCAGATCTGTACAGCCTTTTCTGGGAGTTTCTCAAAGCTCTCTCTGTGACCCATTCCCACTGTGCCACACAGGAAAGTCCAATTTTCACAGAGGAGCCTCCTGTGCCACTGCCAGCTCTCCCACTGCAGCTTGTTTTCAAATGGGAAACATTTCCAAGGCAAGCCAAATACTTTCCAATACATTAAACCAGTTGTTGAAAAACTCCAGGAGTAGGATTGTGAAATATATTATCTGGGATTAAGTGGCAGCAGCATGTTTCTGCATTCAGTCTGTGCTGCTCCTCATACATCACCCACATCTTTGCTGCCAGCTAGGAAACACTAGCACTTCTGCACTTGGAACCAAGGAAAAGCCATGAGGAATTATTTTTCCTTTCAGAAATTCAATTGCCTCCAGAGAGAACAGGAGAAGCTACACTTTGATCTGTCTTTAATTGGTAGATGGGCTGTTAGGGATCGTTTGAGGTCTCCCTCAATTAATAGCCAGTTCATTTGGAGAGATTTTTTTTTTTTTCTGGAAGCAGAGGCACTACTGAAAACAGTGAAACACCTTGGCTAATGTAACATCACACAGCCAGTGGGATTTTTTTTTTTCACAGCAATTGCTAAAAATGGGCCACACACATGCTGTTTTCCACTCTGTCACACTTGGACTTGTGCTTTCTTGCCTGCCTCGTGACCATAAGGCTGGATCCAGCTCAGAACTGGTTTAACAAACATAACTAATCACTCTACAAAGGCTTGCTTGTAATCCATCCCTCATGATCACACCCAAAGAAACAAAAACCCCAGGTTTTGGTGCCAACCCAGTCTCTCATACCATTCCAGTAGGATTCAAAGTGGTGTTGAACATAGATTTGACATCAGATCTCACAGTGTGAGGAAAGGGAATCCTTGGGGATCCCTCACATGGATGTCTGGGGGAATGTCTGATGGGATGTCTGAGGACCAGCCTGGGCAATACATGGGTAAAGACAACATTTAGCCCTTCTGGGCTAAAGAGTTGGGGAGAAGCAAAAATGCTGCCTCCAGAGAGCCTTGTCCATGCTCCTGCCTCCCTGCACCACCAACCCAGAGCAGGAACTCAAATCTGCTTAGAAAACTCAGCATTTACTATCAGGAGTGGTTCTGGACTCAATTAGGGTAATTCTCAACCATGGGTTTGGAAAGGCTCATTATGCTGGGTTAAAATTAGGGCAATTATTGAATCCATTTGATTACCAGACATGATTTAGGAGATGTGTCTCTTGAATAAACACTTTCCAAATTTCTCTTTCAATTACTCTTACATTTGTGGTTGGAAACTACATATGTACTTTGTGGTGAGATGCTGAAGCATGAAATAATACATCCCCAGAAAGAGAGATACCCTGATAAGCAGAACAATAATAATAACAAGCATGAGTCATTGAAAAATGAAGGAGGTAAAATTTACAATTTAAACTGATGGCTTCCTTGAGAGGGATTAGCCAGAAAGATACTGATGTTCTCAAAGAACAAATGTGGTTTGAGGTGAATCCAGCTTCTCAAAATAAAAGATGACTGTTCATCTTTTGGCATGGAGAAAATCATGCATCAAGACCAGAAAAGAGCATAAGTCAGAATTTGTGCTGAAAGTCCCCCAGCAATCACTGTTCCCTTCATTTAAATGACTCATTGAATGCTTTAAGATCAAGGACAAGGTCTTAAATTTTAAATGGTTTTTGAGATTTACTGGAAACCAAGGATGAAACCTAAGCAGGTTTCATCTGTCTATTCTCAGCTTCAAAAGTCCAGGTATTAATGTCAAAATAAAATATGCACTGCCTCAGAATTGGAAAGTTGCAAGAGGCCCAGTATGGGCACCTTCCAGTTGCTGGAAACCAATTCTCCTCATCCAAGCAGTCTGCATCATCACAGAGCATGTAGGAACTATTCAGTGACTCTGTTGTGCAAGTCTGTCACAAATCAATGCTGGGGTTGGGACCTTTATATTGTCCCAAATTAGATATAAATCAAGTAGAGGTCAATGCCAATCTCTGCAGAACTTCAGCCAGTTTCCCAATTGACAGTATAAAAGTCCAACACATTTTTTTTTAATATATTTTTTTCCTTTCTTCCTTTTTTTCCCGATTTCTTTCTTTCTTACAGCCTTCAGGTTGGTGATGGGATGAAGGATGGGTGCAGCAGAGTCCCAGAAATGCACGGGCAGCTCCTGGAGAACATGGCCCACCAACAAGGCCTCCAATGTGCTTAAAGGCTGAATGCAATAACAGCAGTGCTAGCACAGTTGGGTGATGCCAAATAGCCAAAAATTGCCAGGGGGAAGCAAAAAAGAGGAATTTCCAGCAGTGGTTGTAAAAATCTGTTCCTTGCTTGCTGCAGATCTCTGAGCAAAAGCCTGAATACAAGCTGCCCACACTTTTTTGCTCAAACATGGGTCATTTTTTGCTCAAACATGGGTCATTTTCTGGGCTGGGGTTTGGTAACAACACTTCCCAGTCATTATCTCAGTCATTATCTCTGTAGGGGCCGAGCCTGCCTTGGCAAACCAACCAGTGAAGGTGGAAAACATCCTCTAGGGGTGTTGAGGGAGAAGCACAACTTTTGGTGCATGAAATTTCATTTCTAGCATTTGTAGTAGTGAACAGTGCTCAGCCATACTGGTGTTTGGTGTGGTAGCCAGAGTGCCTTCCAGCTACTCTTCTGGGAAGTTAAAACATTACAGGAACTTTCCATAGAAACCCCTGTTCTGGCACAGGGTTTTCTCAGTGAGTATGGTTCAAGGACAAAACCAGAGAATGGCAAACTCATGCTCAAACCCCCAAAGCCCACACTTACTTCACACATGCCAAAAAACAGAGCAGTGAGGTACAGAAATGAGAAATGTGTTCACTCCCCCACCAAGGCCATCTGTCTTAGGTGGTGACAGCAGGATGATGAGAGGTGGCATAAAGAACAAACAGAGCACTCTTCCCTCTGGGATTATGGATAATGGCTGATTTCTGGGATCAGCCTACATGATAGGTAAACCCCCTTTAGGCACAGGTGTCCATCAGCTGAGACAAAAAGTGTGTTGTGGTTGAAGAGGGACTTTTTACAAGGACAGGGAAGGACAGGACAAGGGGAAATGGGCTTCAAACTGACAGAGAGCAGGGTTAGGTTAGATATTAGAAAGAAATTCTTTCCTGATAGGATGTTGAGGTCCTGGCACTGCTGCCCAGAGGAGCTGTGAGTGCCCCATCCCAGCCCTTTTCCAGGCCAAGCTGGATGGATGGGGCTTGGAGCAACCTGGCCTAGTGGGTGTCCCTGTCCATGGCAGGGGTTTGGAACATGATGGTCTTTTAGGTCCTTCCCAATCCAAATCATCCCATGTTTCTAGGATTCTGTAAAGTCACTGTGCACACACACGACAGAGCCTCCAGATGTCACCATCAACCCAAGCAAGAAAGAGGCACAGCACAAACCGAGCAGAAAAACCCCACTCACCGATTTCTCCTTCAGTCCCTGCTCCCCCGCCTGGGACAGACAGACAGGGGGGTTTCCAGTCCACCTGGATAAAGTGCTTGAATCACAAACAAAATCAACAGATGGGGTTTATAGCTGTGCACGAAAGCATTTTGTGAGCACATTATGCTGATATAGATCACATGAGTGCTTCCCTGTGTATAGGTGCTCATTATTTTATATACATATATAAAATTACACACACACACACACACACACATATATATATATGTAAAACACATATAGGTGATTTTATATATGTATATAAAATATATATATATAAAATGTTATATATATGTTATATATTATATATATATGTATATATGTGCATGTGTGTATATATATATATGTATATAAAGTTATATATATAAAATTTCATAACTTTTGCTTTGAAGAATCACAGGTTCTTTGCCATCAGCTTTACCTGAAGGTAAAAGCAAGGCGTGTTCTCTGGTGCCTTTTCTAACCATATACATATTCATCTCTTCCAGTGCACATTCCTGTGTCCCATCCAGCTGATGAGCTGAGAAATGGAGCAATCAGCCCTGTAGAAAGGATCTGAGAGCATTGGCACAGGTGTTCCCAGAGAAAGAAGACAATATGCCCTCAAGTCTCTGTAGTAAGGTCAGTGCTGACTTTTCAAGGAATTGGTTGTCTCCTCTATTTCCCTCGGGTTGTTAAGTTCGTTTTATGGCTCTCTTTCAGCAATCTAAGTTTGCCTGTTAAGAAAAAAAAAAAAGGCTTAAAAAATCCCAACTCTGCCTCTTCTTACTTTGAACTCTGCCCTCTCCTTATTGCCCACAAGATTAAATGAGATTAAATGCATTCAACATTTATAGGGAAGGAAAAGGCCCTCAGCTGTGCTCAAGGCTGGCATTTGCATTGTCCCTGTCACAGCGTGGAGCTCTGATGCAGACTAAAACCACAAGCAGAGCCAAGCATTGAGGCAGCAGGGGTGTGGGACCCAAAGGGCACTGCTGGTTACCCTTGTAGGGCTCCAGAGGGGTGTGCAGGGTGGCAGAGCACCCTCCACCCTTACCTTGTACCTACAGAAATCTGGGGGTTATATTAGGGGGCTGTTTGTTTAAACACACTACACACCCTCCTGAGCACGACATTTAAAAAAATACCACAAAAGGATATGCCAGATTGGGTTGGGGAATGCTTGTAGGGTACAGAGGTGTTGTTTTTACATGAAAAGACCCTCAGGGTTCTCCTGTACCAAAGTTTTAATCCTCACAAAGTTTGAGCAGGGCCTGGAGGGATGGTGACATGGAAGATTAATGGATCTCTCCCAGCCATAGGTTGTCAGTTTAAGTCAAGCACTGCTAATGCAGGATGCTGTCCCGAGACCTCTGTTACCCAATGACAAAGCTTTTTTTAAGTCCTCTGTGTAAAAGGCATAATCCTTGTATGCCAATGGATCATATCCTCGAGATCCCTAGGGAGCCAGGCAAATGTGGAAAGAAAGGGAAAGGAAATCCCTTATTTCATAATGGTGCAAACAGACATGTCAGGAGAATTACATCAATATGCAGCACATGTGAAATTTAATACTCTTCCTAATGCATTTAGATGAGGCAAAATGTAAAGTCTGTACTGCCTCTGGGAATAATTCTGGTAGGAAGCTTTCACCACTAGGAACCAAGGTCTTTCTACTTACTCTGGAATTTGAGCCTTTGTTTTCAAAGCCTTCCTGAGAGACTTCAAAATCAAGTTTGTTACGTGTACGGGTCTCTTTGAAAATCTGTCAATTCCAGAGTGAAACACCAGGGCTCTTCCCAGCCATGCTGGTGCAAATGAATAGCAGAAGGGCTGAAAATCAGTCAAATACTCACAAGGGCCCATCCAACCTGCCAAAGAGGAGAGGCTTTGCCCTGCAGAAAACCAAGACAAGCGAACACAATGGAGCCCTTATCCTTTGCCCGGTATCAGCTGGCATTGCTGCAAGAGTCCATCAGATCTGCATGGATTTCCACCAGCTTTAACTGTGGCCCACAAGGCTCTCAAAGGCCTATAAACACAATATTTGATTTGGAGTCCTTGCAGACAGGAACAGCCTGAAATCTTCTTGCTGGTTTCCCTCCCTTTTATCAAACCATGGATATGGAATTCAGCAAAGGATACAGCTCAGATGTGGCTTGAATTCAGACAAGTGACTTGAAGTGATGATTTTCCCCCCACCAGGCTGCAGATGATCGATGTATTATGCATGAAAATAGTGCCAGGCACAGATGGGGTGGGAATAGAAGGTGTGAGCTGATAATGACAGCAGCCAAGTTCTGCTAGAAAAGACTCTACAACACACTTGCATGTTGGGCAGAAAAAGGATGCAGCATGCATGAGAGGCTAGCCATGGTTCAAAGGGTCAAACAGATTAATTACAGTCAGAACTGAGATTTATGCAAAGATTTGAGTGGCATGGTTGCCAGAGAAACAGGGGATTAGCCTTGATGATTCAAGGAATCCTCTTCCAATCTTGTGTTCTTGAATAACCATTAGGGAGCTGAGTAAAACACGTTTTCTGGGGTTTAAAAGCTGAAGACAGGGAATCCAAAGGGGTGACATAGTACTGCATCAGATATTGCCTTCAGCAGGATCCTGGCTTGTGCTCAGCACAGTGCTGAGAACTTGGCGCCAGGTCCAAAGCTGAAACAAACAGGAATTTCTTCATGGACATTTCTAGGGTTTGGATCTAAGCCACTGAAGACCAGCATGTGAGGCCTAATCCCGTAAAAACAGTCAGTGTTTGGATGGGAAACATGTCACTGATCTGGAGCCAGGTGGGTGCAGACTTCTGTGGGAGGATGAGTCAAGAGAGCTCTGGCACCATCTGCAAAAGGACCTGATGCTGTGGGAGAGAGCTCAGCAAGTGTAAAAACCCATGAGGAAGCAGTGATGGTCCAAAGAAAAGCCCACAATTGCCCTGGTTGTCCTTGGAGCATTCTGGAAATCACTGCAAGACCAACTTGAAGGGAAACTTGAAATGTTTCCCTTCCACCTCTGAGCCATGAGACAGGGATGGTCTGTTCCTCACTCGGCTTTTCTGGAGGAACTCCAGCCTTGAGCACAGCACTGACAGCTGGCAGGGTGCCACTGGCTTTGCCAGATCTGACCACAGCTGGTCCCTGATGCAATAAAATGTTGAATCACCAGAATCTGAGAATGTGATTGTCTGGAGGGTCACCAAGAAAAATCAGCAAAGACTTGCTGGCACCTTGCAATGCATTTGCCTGTTCCAGGCTCTGTGGAAACCTCACCTGTCAAATGTCCTCCAAACTGGGCTCAGATGCTCAAATTTGCCAGTGGAGAAAAGCATTTCTGATAACGCTGCCCAACCTAAGCTTGCAAAGAAACCTCAAGTAGAGAGAGCCTCATAATGAATAAAGGTTTGTCTCACAAAATTCCCATGCCCCAAGGGGGTGCAACCCACTCACCCAAAACCAAGAGCAAATGTGTGACAGAAAGGATGCATTGGGATACTGGGAGCAATTCAGCATCCATGATGGTTCATGAGTGACCCATCAGCTCTGCCAGCCACTGGAATGGGGTTTTTTTGCTTCCCCTCCATCTGCCAGCTCAACAAGACATCTCCACAGTGATCCACACATATCCTGAGATACCTTCAAACAGGCTTCCCTGTCACTGCAGCCCAACACAGTTTCCATAAAGTATAGGAGGACCTGAAGGGCTTGAGCAAGATCAGTTTCACTGGTTGCTCAGAAAAAAGCTGTGGCTGCCCCATCTTCAGAAGGGTTAGATGGGGCTTGGAGCAGCCTGGAAGGTGTTCCTGCCCATGGAACTGGCATGGGATGCAACAGGGTGATCTGTAAGGTCCCTCCCAACCCAAACTATTCCGTACCTTCTATGATTACCATGATCTCACCAGTTTTACACCCAATCAGACCTGCCACAGACTAGTGAAAGCCCCTTCATTCCCACTCTAGCTGTCCTTAAGGTCACATTTTGTGGTGTTAGTACCACGAAGACCTGCACATCAATCTGGATCTGTCCTCCATCTGTCCTGCATCCTTATCTCATGTGTTTTCAAGGAGCTCAGCAGAAATTTATGGATCAAAGCTAATCGATAATACCGGAGCCCTTTCACCATATTGCTTTCACTAAATTACTGCATCCTTTAAAAACAGAAATCTTAGCAGACCGCAGTACAATGCCAGACAGACTGTCACTTCCAAATTATGTTTATTTATTCTCCCTCTGCCTCTTGGCTGGCCCCATTACCAGCATATCTCAGTGTCTCTCAGCCATCAGCATATTTCCCTCCCTTCCCCCTACCTCGAGGTTCATCTCCTCTCAAGTACAAAGTGGACTGACACGGCAAGTTTTTGAGCCTATTTAACACCAGCTTTATCTGAGGAGAACTAGATCCAGTGACAGAGCCTCAGAATTAATTACAAGAAGGTGAATTCCCCGTCACAGAGCCTGGCACGGTGTCACTGCAAACATTTTAACAGCCATTCCCTGGCCCTTGACTGCCTTTGTGCAGTGTAAAGTAATTATTTGTACCTGCTTGGTGAAACGTGTCAGCCCCTTCAGAGGTGCTGTGACACAGCAAATGAGCTCCAGCCCTTGTTATTCACCAGGAAAAGGGTGTGTGGTGCATTTTGGCTCTGCACAAAGTCACTGGAGCTCAAGCTCTTCAGGGATCTGGATGCAGCAGTTTCTGTGTAATCTGCTCCGAGAATACCTTGCAGGTGAGGCCCAGTGATGTGGCCCAAAGCAGAAATGGAACTCGAGGCCAAGGAAACAAAGGGTGACTCTCAAACAAGTACATCCTTGCTGAGCCCCACCATCAGGGAAGAATGGAAGACTGAACCTCCTCTTTCATCTCCCTTCTGTCAAGTATTTTCAGTCCTTTCCTCTCCCTTTTCACCTCCTGCATCCCAAGGGTGCCCCTGGTGGAAACTCTTTTCTATCCTCACCCCAGGTCCAACTGCTTCCCCTTCCAGTGCTTCAGCTGTTACAGCTGACACATTCCTACCACATTCCTTCTTTATTCTCAACAAATAAAAAAAAAAAGAGAGAGAGAAAAAAAAAAAAAGAAGAAGTATGTGTTCTGGGGTTTTCTTTATTACAAATTTGCACAGAGCTGAGCTGACACTGGGGTTAACCTGTAAAGTCCATTAGAGATGATCCTGAGAGACCAGAGAGGGAAAATGAGGAAAGTTGCCTTACAGCCTGGAGCAAGGAAAGGAAACTGTTTATCCCTTCCACTGCAGCATGCCCCAGGGCAAGGAAGGAGGGATGGAGGGATGGAGGGATGGAGGGATGGAGGGATGAGATGAGGTTTGTTACAGTGGAGCAAAGGGAATTGACTGCATAAAGCAGAGACTGGGGCACAGGGCAGAAACGAACATTGGAGGGGACATCTCTGCCTTTCCTGGAGGAAACGACCTGTTTGCACATCCCAAGTTCTCCCTCCATTGGAGAGGGACTGTGAGGCTCTTTTAAGATCAGAGGCAGATCAGATTTACCCAGGACTTTTGGGCTTTAGTCAGAGCTCCTGGACCTCCCCAAACTGAAGATCACCTGTGGAGCACCTTGATATCACCTGGAAAAGAAGTGCTGGAGACCATATTGCTCCTGGGCAGAAGGTTCCTCTGTGGGGATATGTGGTGGCCTCCCCATGCAGAGGGGAAGGGGTGAGCCATCAGACCAGCTCCAAGAGAGGAAGTTTTCCAGCTGATGGGCAGGAAAATGGGGCTGTTCTCAGTGGACTCCTCTGTGGTGCAGAAACAAAGTCCTTTCTCATTAGGGAGGAATTCAATGGGCCTCTCTGGGAGTCAGTGCCACAGCAGCAAAAGGTCAGGTCTCCTTCTGGAAGCCTTTTTTACTTCTGCCAGCAGGAAAAATATTCTAAAATATCACTAAAGAGCCCTGTTCCCCTGTACTCCCTTCCAAATACAAAAAGGAGGAAATTGCCTCAATGTGGGGAGCGATGCTGTGGTGGGGATGGCAAATCTCCCTGTCCAGCCCATGGGAGTTCCCTTTGCACCTGACAGCTTTGCTATTAACAGACCATGGCTAATTAGGAGGGGCAGGAACAATGGGAACATCCTATTCTCTGCACAGGGCACAGTGCAGAGATTGCCACATCTGTGGAGACCCTGCCAGCATCAGCTGTCACAGTGGGGCTGTTTGATGTGAGAGTTTCTATGGGGAAATTCAGCCTGTTGGGCTGCCCCAGCTGCTCCTCTGGTGCCTGGCTCTGCCTGCCCAAATCAGTGTAAATTCTCCCAGGGCTCCCCTAAATTACAGAAATGTGCTTTCCACTCTCATCCTGGGGCAAAGGCACATGGAGTCTACTCTGGCAATCAGAGCCATGTCAACACAAAAGTTTCTCACCTTCATGACCTGTTGCCATCACTCAATTCTGCTTTTGTAGACTCTGAAAAATCAGATTCCTGAAAACCCATGGAGGTCCATCTTCACGTCCCATAGCCCAGCACATCCAACCTTTGCTGAAATCATTTTGAGTGCATGTTACATGGGAAAACTGCAAATGGTTTGCTGTCTGTTGTAATCTTTCTGTGCCAGTCCCCTTTGATTCTCAAATTGTTTGTGAATATGAAATTCCACTTCTGTGATCGAGGCGAATTATTTGCTTAAGATAATTTATGGTTACTCTAAACTCAGCATGTTGGCTAGGCAGTCATTTATGGATTTTCAAATGGACTTGCAGAGAGCTTTAATCACACATTGTCCAAACTCCAGGACCCAAACTGAAGGAGTTTTGTTTCAGCTCCCATCAGCTACAGAGGTCACAGTTAAGTAAAATCGGCTTAAGCTGGGATTGGAAAGCTGTGTCTGCTACATTAGCAGAGATCAGATGACAGATTTGGTCTGGCCTCATTATCTAGCCATAAAAATGTGAGGGCCTGAAGTATTTAGGGAATAGGAATGCAGAGAGCAGGAGGGATTTCTGGAGGATCTCTAAGCAGTATTTGCTGTCTGGGAAAATGAGCCCAAAGGACCCCCCCACCCAAACTGTCTGATGTGAGCTCTTATCTCCAACAACAAACTGAAAGCAGGAGAATCAGTCTCTTCCTTTTGCAAACAGTGCAGGGAACAGGGGCTCCTGTATGTCTACAACATCTTGCATTTATTTTTAGCTTCATCTGTTTGGTTAGTGAGGTCACTGGAGCCCAGGCTCAAGCATGTTCCCCTGACCTGCCAAGGCTCTGGCTTGCCTGTAGCTATGCAGACCCCAAAGCAACAGAGCTAATGTGCAAGAGAATTTTGTGTCAGTATTTTGTGCTAGACTTTAAATCAGTGTCTTCATTTATCGCAACAATTCTTCTTTGGGTATGAAAATTGCAAAACACACTTTGAGCAGTCTTGATCCAAAAAACCCATTTGATTTGGGCTATTTCTTGGCTGAAGTAACCCCTATGACTTTTCCAGTCGTTCTGCATTTAGGATTTAATTTACACAGTTCAAGGATTAAATCACAATTTCCAGCATTTGGTATAAGAACAAACAAACAAACAAACAAAAAATCCAGCCTTCCTTCCCCCCAGAGTTGGGAAACATTGTTCAAATCACTGCTAGGAAATAAATGTGAGGGTACCTGGAGCCACCACCTCCCATCATTTCCGTCCTCACCTAAGCTAGAAAATGAGTTTGTGGGGGAAAACTTTCACATGGAGCTGCAGAGGAATTAGCAAACAATGCTTTTTGGAATGATGGCTTATACTGCAAATGCAGTAAATTCCTGATGGAGTCCCCAAGCCCAGGGCTGGAAGCATGCCAGGACAGAGAAAGGGGAGAGCAGGCAAAATTCATCACTGCTGCACAAGTGAGGTGAATCTGAGGAGCCTGCAGGAAACCCAGCAGGTGAGAGGGGAGGTGGCACAGCCCTGGGTCTCACAGGGTGAACTCTTGTCCTGACAGGCTTTTTGAGCACACTGGCTTAAACCTCGCCTCCACAGCTCCTGCTTGGAGAAAAGATGTCCCCCAAGGAGAAAAACACCTCCAGAAGTGTGCATCTATCTTTATTTTCACTCCTTGAATCATTCTGGGAAAAGCCCTTTTCTAAATGCTGACATAACCCTCTCTCCCCTAGGGAAATATTCATGTAGCTGCAGGTGACTGAATTAGGGAAGCTCAGAAAAAGTTCCTGTTAACAGATAAAGCCACAGGGACTGCCCATGTGCAGATTTTAGAGCTCCTGCAAATGCAAAACAAAATATCCCTGCAGGGTGACTGGAGCTAATGTGCTTTTCTTTACATTTGCATTTGGCTCAGAGTCACACAGAGGCTTCTTGCCGGGGCAAAAGTGATAAAGAATTAAGCTCCTATTACTCAGCTGCTTGCAAGAATTTGCGATATCTGTGGTGGAAAAAATGTTGCAGAAAAACATGACTTTTCCTCACATGGAACCAGAAAATGTTAAAGATTTGGTTCAGCTCTCTTCCTCTCTGCTTGTTGTGTCTGAAGTTCACACAGCAAGAAGAAATTCCCACTTTTCTATTACCAGAATAAGAAATATTTCTGCAAGCACTTTATTCATCTAGAGAAGGCATGGTCACTGCCATAGCAGATTATATGAATCAAGGGGCTTAACTCTAGAAAATGACAATTTGTTGACTTTCTTGTAATTTTCTGTTGGGTTTTTTTTCATTGTTTCTGTCTCCTGTCCTAAATTGTTACGAGATATCACCTCTTTCCCAGAATGCCAGAATGACTTATCATGGAGTCACAGAATCATGGAATG